ATAGTACACTATTGCACCCATTCACAAAAAAGCAGAGAATAAAACCAATTTCATACATTATTACAGCCATTCACAAAAAAGCAGAGAATGAGACCAAATATAATACATTATTACACCCATTCACAAAACAGATATAATTTTCCTAAAATTAATTAATTATGAACTAAATTATTTTTATGTTTTTTTTGTCATTTGCATAAAATATAAAATGTTTTCGACCATAAAAACTATTTTATAATAATTATGAGAAACTTCTTAAGCTGTCAAAGCTTGTTTTGAAATTAAAGACCTTTATTTTTCGAAAATATTGTTTTTTCTAACTCATTCTTTCAACCGTGACTGAAAGTTATTTATAAAACTTCTTAACTATTTATTTTAGTATAAATTAATTTTTAACGCTTAGCTGCACTATATACTATAGACTATAATTATTAAGAGAATTATTTTAGTAAAAGAAATTAAATTTTTTGTCTGATCTGAAATTGTTCTCTGCTATGGAAAGAAAACTTATCCAGACTTAAGCAAGGATTTTCTCTGATGAATTTCTAGGCCGAGTTTCTTTTTTTCTGAAAACACGAATACTCGTATTAGGATCGTGACTAAATTCTAGATTTTAGGAATTTTAGAAAATTCTTGGCTCCATGCAAATGATTCCAAAAGGGACTCTAAATTGATTCTAAAAGGGATATTTTAAGCTTGCAGTGTTTTTAATATTCCTTAAATATTTGTTCTTTTTAATATTTTGCTGTTGTTCCTGTTGCTCCATCGGAATCGTTCTCTAATTTGTGCTGTCGTTCGAGTAGCAAGTTGAAGTTGGGATGATTTTTATAAAATCTTAACCCACTATCTGAGGTGAAAATCAACTCTCTTCGTGTTTAAAATATGTTCCGAAAAAAAAACAATAAGACCATTGGTGATATTCTGTTTTAAAAAATTTAAAAACATAAAGAAACCATTCAGCTATGGATGTCAATTATGGATTTTTAAATAGCTAGAGAACATCCTAGTTTAGAACTCTTCCTCCAGTTCTTCTGTTCAAAAAGGGAAATCGTGAAATTTATTAAAAATTCATTGTTTAAGAACATTAATGCAAGAGTTTAAAAATGGATTAATAGTGCCTATAGTACTACGAAGGCAATAAGTCAAATCAGCTTGATCATAGTCTGTTTTGAGTAAAAAAAAAATGAACATAGAATTTACATAAATTTACTTTGAAATAATACACAATATTCCAAAAAAAAATCAGAAAATTCATTTCTCACAAACATAAACACACAAGTTCAAGCATAACTTTACGTACTTCTTAACTGAGCTTTATTTTTATTATAATGCCTATTTTGGTTACAAAACGCAAATAGAATTTTGTGCTTGATGACAATACAAAGTTCAAACGTTTCCCGGTAGCTGAAAGCATGATTTATTGCCAAAATATTGCAAAAAGAATTTATTTAAGTATAAATTATACATTTTGATCGTAATACGAGCAGTGAAAGCTTCCAAATTTCAACCGCTGCCTTATATCTGATGATAATACGACTTTCAACCATGGCGACTACAAGAAGAATTTATCGTCATTTTAATTCTGAATAGAATTTATTGTCAATTTAAATTTTTACTACTTTTCAACTTAATCGAATCTAAACTGAAGTTTTGTGCTTGATGGAAATTTTTAACTTTTTGTTTTGCACGGGTTTTTAGTTTTGTTGTTATTTGAGAGTTTAATTACTGTCAAATTTTTTTAATAAGGAAAAAAATTCATTATACTTAATGAAATCTGTAAGGTTACAAATATTATTCTTACATTGTAGTTGCAGGTTATGAATCAGCGTTGCCCTTAAATATTTCGAAAAGAAAAGGCCGACAGCTGAAAGTTGAAGAGGACATTGAAAAAGCTATTAGTGACATCGATAGAAGAAAATCGGATTCAAATTATTCCAAGGAAGGTTTCGAACTACCACAAACAACAATTGACAAATCGGATCATCCTACCATAAAGCCAACTAGCATTTACCAAAACAAGTATCTTATGAACCGTCTCAATAATTTTGAAATGAATCCTGAACTCCAACAGTACGATAAAATGAACCATCCTATACAGCCTACTTTTAAACCTCCACGTATCTTCAATCCTTATGGTGAAGAATCATTAGATGATGATGATAGCTCAACGACTAGAGTAATAGAACATTTTCAAAACAAAATACCTAGTGGACTTAAGAAACCTAAAACTTTTAACCATTTTTCTCCAATGCGATCTTTCAGTGATATTGATGAAACAACCAGCTCACATGACTACAGGCCAACCGACAGAAAGCAAAAATTTGAAGAGATAAGTGTAGGAAACTATAATGTTTCATCTGTTCGTCTGAGCGAAAGCAACGACCAAAAGAGTCCTGAAGACTCAATATCAGAATTAATTTCCGAGTGCAATAAAAATATCCAGTGTTCCATTCATGCAACGTGTTTCAATCAAGATAACCAACATCCAGGTTTCTGTAGATGTGTTGCTGGATTTCAAGGAAATGGCATATCTTGTTGGGAAGTCAAGCTGTTTTAGGAGTCATATTAGTTAGTTTAATTTTCTAAAAACTTATGCAATGCCACTGAAAACCGTTTCAAAAAATTATTTTTTAAATGAATAAAAGAAGGGATTATTAGAAATGTTTGAAAATTTATTGTGTTATATTTAACCCTGTAAGGCAGATAGAACACCGGTGTCCCTTTTGTATACATTTTTTTCTCGTGCTCTAATAACATGCAAAAATATGTTTTGGTATTTTTTAATTATTAAAAATAGTCTAATAGTTACTAAAATATCTGTTAGATTATTAGAATTATATTTGTACTAAAATATAAAATTAAAAAAAGGAGTTCTAAAATTTTTTTTCCATTCATATTCAAAAATTTATCAATAATTGATTTTGTAGATTAAAAAAATTTCAATGATAAATAACTGCTTCTTTAAGATCTAAACAACTGCAAATGAATGCAAATTTGTAAAATTCTCGCTTTTAAGTGAGCCACATTTGGAAGATTTTATCCTTTAACGCAGATAAAGACACGTTGTATTTTATACCACAAATTATTAAAATGCTAAACATAAGATTTTTCACTTATTTTGACCTAATAATAACAAAATATATGATACATATGTTTAACAAAAATTCTGCGTCTAAAAGTTAAAATAAGTTCATGAAATTAAATTTATGAACAAATGTAAATTAAAAAACATGTATGTTGTGATTTAATTCATAATTATTTTCTCTTTTATTAATGCTTTATATATCGCAGTTAACTGTATCAGCTACTATCCTGTTTAACGACTAATGGAATCTATTGTTTTATGATTTTTTTTAATGTGCAGTAACAAGAATAAATCACAAATTGGGTGCTTTTCTTGCTCAAGAGCACCCTATTCTTATCCTGGTGAGTAAAATTCCAGATTCACTTTCCAGTTCCCCATTGAGATAACAAAATGCTATTAGGTTTCTGGAAAGCTGACTCATTTTCTTTGGAGATTTATTAACTGTTGTGTAAAACTTAGGTCTACAGCCATGCTTACAAGAGTGGTATTTTTCATAAAAGGGAAAAAACTTGGTCGCTTAAGTTAGACTTAATCTAATGATGGGTTGGTGATGGAGAAACAAAAGACTAAAAAATAAATAGATACTGTTTGAAATATTATTAGTAAAAATAAAAGTTTTTTTTCTCAATATAATTTAGAAAGTTCAGATATTAAGAAAAAAAAATTAAAAAAAAGCAGTCGTGATATTTATATTTCTAATTTATATAATTACAATAGTTTAAGTGACGATGATAACTGTTTTGATGGTTAAGAGTTACAAAAAAAAATATTTGTAAAAACCAAATATACTCATTTTCCGTTACGTATTTAATACATAACGGCATTGTGGATAAACAAAAAATTTTATATGTTACAATTAATTCAATGACATTTACTATGTAAAATAAATAAAAAACATATTGTCTGAAAATTAAACTTAATAAATTTATCTTTTAAAGAATATTTATAATTCCTAATAAATTATGTAAATTGTGTTACCGAATAACAGAACATTTTTTTTTACACTTTTGTAAAATCGAAAATATTTCCTTCTCCAATGTCTCTCTGGGCTCCTCAATCTAAGTTTGAACTTCGGAATCACAAAAATTAGTTTTGTGAAAAAATTTTGGAGGTCTTTGCTTCTCAGTACAGGATCAATGATGCGAGCCAAATATAATTGTACTCTTTGATATTATGTTTAAAAATGTTCATAGGTAGCTGAACTTAAATAACAAAACTAAAATCAACTGACTAAAATCAGCAACTAAACTAACTAAAATCAGCAACTAAAGTCATGAAAAGCATGAATCTCTGATGACGATGAAATTATTCTATATAAAAGTAAATATTTACAAACGTATCATTAAAACACACAGATTTAAAATTGTGATTCTAAACTTCACTAGAACATGCAACTGATGCAGTGTGAGTTATCAATCAAAATCAAAATAGTAATGCTAAATCAGTATCCGTATTTTACTTATTAAAATTGCTTAAGTTATTCTGAACCCTGGATAACGGTACTTCTTTACTTAAAAAAAAAGAAGAAAAAAAAGGTTCTAGTGCCGTGTTATCAAATCGCAATAAAAAAAAATTTTAATTTTAATTTATACTTTTCATTAGTCGTTACAACATAATACTTTTTTAGATAAGTAAGCTATTTCATAAGTTGAGGGAAAGATTTCCTAGACCTCCAAAAGTTTAAAGAACTGAATAAATTTTTTGTGTGTGATGAAAATTATCTACAAACAAATAGTTAACATGATTATGTTTATTAAGCTTTCATTTAAGTTTTTAAATATAATAGTATTTTAAGGGTTGAAATATTAAAATTGAGTCTATGGTAAAAATTTATTATATATATTTTTTAATGAATATCGTTTTTCGTATATTTAACGACGTATTTAAAAATTATATTACTTTAATTCAATTTCAGGTTATGAATCAGCATTACTTTCAAATGTTTCTAATAGGAAAAGTCGTCATTTGGAAATTGAAGAGGGCATGAAAAATATATTTAGTGATATGGATAAAAGAAAATCGGATTCAAATTATTCAAAGGAAGGGTTTGAAATGCCTAAAATAACGATTGATAGTTCAGGTCACCTTACTCATACACCCACCAGCATTTACCAGAACAAGTACCTTATGAACCAGCTTAGTAAATTTCAAATTAATCCTGAGCTCGCAGATTACAATAAAATGAACCATCCTCCGCTAAACATTTTTAAACCTCAGCATAGTTTCAAACCTTATGGAGAAGAAATTTTAGATGATGATGAAAGTTCAACTACTAAAGTGTCAGAAAATGATCAAAGCAAAGTGCTTAGTAAACTTCAAAATCCTGAGAGTTTCAATTATTTTTCAATGAAACAATCTTTTAAAGATGCGGATGAAATTTCCACCGCACATCCAAACGAGCAAAAAACAATCGAGCAAAAACCAAACGAGCAAAAACCAAACGAGCAAACACCAAACGAGCAAAAACCAAACGAGCAAAAACCAAATGAGCAGACACCAAGCGAGCAAACACCAAACGAGCAAAAACCAAACGGCAAAAAACAAAAATCAGAAGGAGCAGATCTTGAAGATTCAAGTGCCAACAAAGCTTCTCGTCTGAGCGAAGGCAAAGAGAGAAAGAGTATTGAAGATTCAATATCAAAATTAATTTCCGAATGCAACAAAAATACCCAGTGTTCCATTCATGCAACGTGTATAAATCAGTATAGCTCAATTCCAGGATTCTGTAGATGCGATGCTGGATTTCAAGGGAATGGCGTATCGTGTTGGGAAGGCCCGACGTTTACTGATTCTGATTAAATAGAGTATTTCTTTAATGAAAAAAAAATTTACTAATACGTTATAAACCAAACAGTTTCGAATAATAAATTATGCTAGTAGGACCCTAATAAATATATTTTTAGAAATACATGAAGATGGTGTGTATTGTTTAAACTGAATACACTAAATTTTTATTTAATAATTAAAAATTACTCAGAATAATTTAGTTAATACTGCTTAAAATTTTTTTTTCCAAGAATGTCTCACTTGGTTAATTGATCAGCTTGTCTGGCAACAAGTGAATTCTTACTATATATGGGACAATCTATTCGGGATCTGATATTTTATAAGAAACAAGTGACAGATTAAGTCGTGATGGTACAGTGGTTAAGGCACTGAGGCATTGTAAAAGATGGAGGTTCTATCCAAGGTGACGGCTTAAAGCACGCTAGCATCAAATTCATGGGCACCATCTTGTCTCGGAAGTAAAGGCGGTCGGTGCGAATGCAGCATATTTCCATCATCATATGAATTGTCTCGAAATTGTTGAGTCAGTAAGCCTCCTGGCTGGGATACTGGCTATTTGGAGAGTGCTTTACTTTTATAAATTATAAATTGGCTTTTTTTGTTGCCTGTGGTCCTAGTATTCTTATTATTGCAAACCACGTAGACTATATGGAACTATAATTTGCAAGTTTTGAACCATAAATTTAATTTGAACGAATTTCAAGTAATTGATATGCTGTAACATCAGCGATGATTTAAAATTCGTTTGTAAATAATGGAATAGTCGCAGTGCTTTTAAAACTCTCAAGCTGGAAAGAATATTTTCATATCAAAAAGTTAGATTTCGTTGTAATTAACACATTGGAGATAAACTTCCTAGCGATTTTGGACGATCTGGAGTTCTAGGTTATTGGAAAACAGGCGGTGGCTCCCTAGCTCTTTTCATATGAAAGTTTGAATTGAGCCATTTAAATTAAGGATCTGCTATCTACCTTGAAATTAAATATGGCGTTTATTTTGCACTATTTCAGATGCATTATACTGAAAGTTTTTAGTCCCTCAAAGTTCACTTATTAATTATCATAGTCAAGAGCTTATTTATTAATTTTTTTCATATTCTCAAGTGACTCCAAATTTCCCACCTAAGATCGATCAGGAAAAATATCAGTGTAGAGAATATCGAGAGATGATCCACACATTCCTGCCTCTTTATTATAAATTATAAATATGCCTTCTGGTAAATGTGATAAAAATGCACATTGAGCTCATTCCCTGGTTTTTAAAATTCAGGGCGTTTGCCAGGTATTTCCTCTACCAATGCATATATAAGGTTAAAGAACCATCACCAATATTCCTCACACTGACATTTTTTCTATTATATCTTAAAGTAAAAAAATTTAAACTTCCTCCGAGTAAGGAAAAAAAACTTGAACTCGACTGTTTAAAAAAATATGAATAAATGTTATAAATATGTTAAAGATTAAAAAAAGAAATTTTACAGAATGTTATAAACTCGAAGCGTCAAAATACTTTCAAATGTATTTTATTATTAGTTGTATAATACTTTTATGTATCATATATAATATCTATATTATATTAGTTATATAATATTATGTAATATTAATTATATAAGAGTTATTATAATACTTTTAAATACATTGTTAGTTTGCTCCTAACATCTTCACGCCACTGATTGCAGCCATCTCACCCAGCTCATAACCGTTTCCAAGTGCGACGGGGATAGATGTTAGAAATGTTTTTCAGCACTCAGAACTACGTCCTATTCCCCATTACGATAATCAGGCAAACAGGGCATGTGGAATTTTTTGTTTTGTGTAAGATAAAAATAGTAATAATTTCTGAAAGAAAAACCCAGTTTTGGTTTTGGGTAGAGAAACAAAAACCGAAACAAGACGTCAAAGGCCTTTACACTTCAGGTTTAAAAAAATGTGATATTATAGCTGAATTGAACTAACTAAGTGTAGAAAAGGATCAACAATAAACATTACAAAAATAATGAAAATAATCTGTAATTTTTTAATAAAATATGGCTGTCAACAAACTGTTAACAATGGTTGTTGTTGCGGCAACGCTCGTGAGTCAGTTATCAAATTTTGATTCGCTGTGTTACTCAATTAGCTTACGAAAAATTTTATATTTTTCTATCCATTCTTGCAATTAAAATTTTGACGATAGATTTTCAAATCCGATACATAATTATTTCGATTCGATTTATTATAAAATCCAATTTATTTCTTGTTTATGCAAATCGAAACGATTTCTGTGCCCTCTGTTGGCAGTCAGCTGATAACATTTATCGGTTGCGGTTTTCACAAGTGTTCTTTCTATTTTCTAATCTGCTTCTTCCCTGTAGTTTCAGCGTTAGGGTGGTGCTACCAAAAAGCTCGTCTGTCTTGAATTATTATTGCAAGGACCTTTATTAATATATTAAAATGTCTTGGCAAGCATATGTGGATAATCAAATTTGTTCACAAGTATCCTGTAGATTAGCTGCAATAGCAGGATTACAAGACGGAGCGATATGGGCCAAATTTGAAAAAGATGCAAGCGTTATGCCGGTAAGCAGCGTGCATATATCTTTAACCCTAACTCTCAAATATAAAAGAAAAATCGAAGTGTCCCCTAATTTTTTGTGAATTTCCTCAAAAACCGTAATTCCTGTGTTAATATTAGCATTGAATCAATAATTCATCGCTGTCTTGGTTTGTAATATGAAGCCTTCCCTTTAATTGGGCGGCTTTCAGCCATTGTATGAATCATCCCTAAATTTAAATGTCTCCCTTTATCAAAACTTTAAACTGTAATGATACGCGTTTTGGTATCGTTGTCTATTAAATATTTTATTTTGTGAATTTTTAAATTTGATTGCAATATTTTTTAAAATCTTATAATTTCATTAATGTAATTGGGAAGTAGACATGTGATTATGAAGGGATATTGAATGGACCTAATATGGCCATGATTTCTGCTTATTACTTAATATTAATTTCGGTGTATTGAATTTCGCTTATTGGCGCATTTAAGTTGTCAGTACGCAAGAGCATTTCTTTGTGATAGGTTACTGACACAGGTTGAGTCATTTATCAACCTCGTGATCTGGAAGCGCTGTAAGAAGTGTCATCCTGTAATGAATATTTTAAATAGCGTTATAAGAAGTGCCAACTAAAACCGAATGTTTAGGGAGGTTTTTATATTTTTTAAGCATAGCTAAAATTTTCTGTTCGTTTTTCCGTCTGCTTTATTTTTCACTTATCAATTATTGAAATAAAGACAATGGGGGCTGCTATCAAATTCCTAAATTTTCATTGATTTTAACTGATATTAAATTTTTAAATTAGCTTATTAAAATTTGTTAAGTTTATTAGCTTTTTTGCGTATATTTTAGCTGCTTATTTTATTAAGTCCATTTAAGTTTATTAAAAAATTTCAGTAGCAATATACTGTAGGTACAATTTTACCAATTAAAATTTTCTGTATTAAGCATGTAAATGCTTGTAAAAAACTTTAAATTACTCCATAAAATTGGAATTCAAGTTGTGTGTAAAGTTCATTAAGACAAGAATGTAAGAAACATTTAATAACATATTTGCGAAAGTTTAAATTTAATGTTCCCTATTTGTCACTCTGAGATTGTCTAAACTGAGTTTTCTGTTAACCAAAATTAGTTTTTGACACAACACATAAACTGGTTTAAATCATCAAAAAATATTTTAACTTGGGATGATAGACAACTCATAATGCATGTAAAATTTTTAGTACATTTAAAATGTAGATGGCTAATGTATTTATATGTCGATCAAAATTTTTTTAGATAATTAGATATTTAAATAGAAATTTTGGTTTTGAGCAGAAAAAACAATTTTTCCTTAATATTTTTAGAGCTCATCTTAATGAATTCGATTATACATATTGAAATCATAACACTGTTTTCATATTATTGAAATGAAAATATTTTAAAATATGATTTGTATAGTTTTTAAACTCTTCATGTGAATTAAATCCAAATTATAATTTTGATGTATGAACACTTGTAGAAAAAAAATGATAAAAGCAGAAATTTTAATTAAATGATAAAGGAAACCATTCTGAGCTCTCTGTACTGTAAGTAATTTACAAGTTGACTTTAGTTTCATATTTTTTAAATTCGAGTCAAAAGTTACTAGCTAATTATTGAAGGGTTAAAGTTCATTTTATTAAAATTTAGAATGCCTATTTTTCTTTTATAGTAAAAGCAATTAAACAAGTATAAAGCTTCCTGCAAGTCTTTTGTTTGCATAAAATGGTCTATATCAAGTATATTAAACTAGGAATGTAACAAATATTATATCACTTTTTGGTATTCTGCTCTTTGTCAAAATTTGGATAAGTATTTGTACAATTATTTTTTGACAAAGCTTTTTGGGAAAATCTTCAGTTTTATTTAAGAATAATCAGAAATTGTATGTTTTATGCTATTAGAAATAGTTTTTACACATATTTGTTAAGTTCTAAAGTTTGAAATTTATCTGCTGAAAGACACAGAAATTTAGATTTAAAGCTGGATTACTTTTACTGAATCATAATTTATTTTTCCTAATTATATTCAGACAAGTCAATTGTAGTTTTTTAAACAGCACTTTATATTTTAAAAGTTTAACTTTAGTTTTAAAAAAATGAAGCAAAACAAAAAAAGTGAAGCACATTATTTTAACTAAAGTGAAGCACATTAACGAAATGTTTCTAACACTATTGCGTTTTTGACAAGGTTCTTTATTTTGATATGCCTGATCAGTGAACTAATTAAAATTTATTAAAATATGTGTTGAAATTTAGTTAATTTTCAATCACTCAATTCAAGGGTTTCATTAAATTACTATTGATATTTAATAGTTATTAGAATAAATTTACTAGTTAGTTATTTTATTACATTATAATAGCTTTAGTACATCTATTTTCTAGACTATGCAGATCAACATCAATAAAAGAACTCAAATTTCTGATTTATATAAACTGAAAAATAAACTTAAGAGTACAGAGCTTCTAAATTTTTTTTTTGATTGCTTGCTTCAGGGAAAAAAAGGAGTTAAATCAATTTTAATTTAGTCCCCTTTTAACATATTATCAATAAGATTGAGTTTCTTTTTTTCTTCAATAATTCAAAAAATTAACAGTAAATTTCAATTTTGTACATTTTTATTTATGATAAAAATTTTCTACACAAATTTGGGTTTTTGACTAACTGTCAAAACAGTTTATTACCAATAATTTACTAACATTATTGATCACTTGTAATTTTTTTGTATGTATATTTATTTATAAATACTTAATTATAATAGCTAAATTATAATAGCTAATAATTATCCAATATAATTATAATTGGGTATTTGACACTTGTTAAAAACTGTCAAGTTTTTGACATGAGTGATAAAATCATGGATTAAACTATCAATTGCCAACCTTGATTTCTAGTAGACTTTATATTCTTTTATTGTCACTTTCTTGAACAGTAAAACAGTAACACTGAACTCATGCACAAGGTTTAAATTATATTTCAAAATTAAGAATAATTTTTTTGATGATTTTTTTTAACTTTCCTCTTTATCAGTGTTTTTTTATTATGACAGCATTTTTAAAGAGCTTTTCTAATGAAGATTATTCTTTTGTGGCCAATTTTCTTAAAATATGGCAATGTGAAAATTAAGATTTTAACATTTTATCTATCCTTTAAAAATTTTGAAGATTTTTGTTTATTTCTATCTTGTATTTTCTTATTCAAAAAAGTTTTTATTGATGTTTTTATTATGATGTGGTAATTAAGAGGGTCTATATTAGACTTATCACTTTTTCTTATACTGTAATTGGAAGGCAAAAATGTTAAGCTTTAAAATTTTCCTTTAAAAATTGATCCATTTTTTTTTTTTTTTTTGCTTTTTGTATATAATCTTAATTTTTATTTAGAAGTGTTTGTTTGATAGCGTTGCATTTTTAAGAGTTTAAGGGAAATAATACAATGCAAAAAGCTGTTAAATTTTACAAAGCATTAAAATAATTGAAACTATTTGCATGTTTTATTTCTAAAAGAAAAATTTTTCAGCATTTTGATTAATCTGATAATTTATGAAATTGTGTCCCTGTAGTAATTGTCATACGTCAAGACATACAAACCTGATTTTATGAACTTTTTAAGGAGATGCTAGGCCATTGTTTACATTAATTTTTTTTTGTATAGTGAATTAAACTTTTTGTCTCCTTATTTTATCACTAAATAATATTTAGTGTAAATATGAAGTTTTATTTGTCATACCTATTTAGTTTAAACTAAGACTTAAAAATATAAGTAAATTTTAAAGAGCCTTGAGAGCCGAGAAAAGTGTCAAGATTTTTTAGACTTATACTTGTTTGTGTGTATCTTTTGGTAACAAATCTAGTGTGTAGTATAAAGAGTTGGAAAAGGGTCTACCTCAATGAATGTTTGTTGATCAATAAACTATGTTCTTGTAACGGGTAGTGTATCCTAATTCTGCGAATTACAATCCACCTATATATTGTTTTATAAGTTGCCTCCATATTTTTGAATACACCTCCTGTGGCAGAATCACTACTACATTGTCACAGAATGTTAGTTTTTATGGTAAGATTTTCCTTTTGGAAAGTAAAGTTTTGGCTCTTTCTACAAAAATTTACACACTAAATTTGAATTGCTTATTTATGTAAATAACTTTTTGATGTGCTCATTTAACGCTGACAGTATCTGAAATGCATGTAGTGTTTAGTTTGTATTTTTGGCAGTTAATATTGATTTTTCATGTGGTTTTTAGAATATCCTGATGTATTTCGGACGATACAATGAGAAATTAGAATCGCTCATTTGAGTATTTCCTTTTAAGGCAATAATTCTATGGATTTTTTTTTTTGCTGATAATGCAATTTTCAGTTTTTTAAAATCTGATTTTTTATGCAATATTTATTACAGATGTCAAATTTTGAAAAGAAACACTCATTTAAGAAACCCTAGTTTGACAAATCAGATTTGAATGATTTAGTCCTATGTGTTTTTCAATAATTAACCCCTTCTCGCTCCCATGGAATTTTCTGGCTGGAGTGTTCAGTAGTAATGCGAATAAGTAGTAATAAGAATAAAACTAATTTCTTTGGCCCGGAAAACATTTTATTTCTAAATTTGCACACCAGATGGCAGTACCAGGATAATTTGTTTATTATAAACTAGTTGTCAAAAAATTAGGCACTTTTATGACACTTTTCTTGAAGTTTAACCGAACGTTAAGAGGTTAAGCTATGGATTTCATGATTTTTATTTTTTAGTGGTTTTAAAAATGCGATAAAGAAAAGTGCATTCTCCCTCAACAAAATTAGAGAATATCGCCCATATTTAAATAAAAAAAATTATAAATTCTATTAAAAAAATAGTATTTTTGTTTTTGTAAATGCAGTGTTTTCATCACTTTAAGTTAGTAATATGCATCTTTGTTATTATTGAAAGTATCCTTTAGAAAAATATAGTGCTAGAGAGTTGGATTACAGAAAGCCTAAAAAAATTCTGCCACAGGAATTACTAGTTTGCAAATTTTTGGCATCTCTTGTTTTTTTTTTTTTTTTTCGGTAGTCTACTTATAAATCAAACATGAAGATTTCTGAAACTAAAGCATGTAAAAAAAAAATTAAATCTGGGAAATTAGTGTCTCTAAAATTACATTGTTCACTCTGGATATGATAGATTTGTTGTCCTAAAGTGCATAGTGGCCAACTGTTCTGATTTTAAAACTTAATTGTTTAGATTTTTTAGCTTTATTCCGAAAATACGATTTTAGTCAAATGCTCCGATTTTTCGGTATTCTATCACCTTTTCACTCCTTATAATGATTTTCTTGACTTGTAAGACGGCTGTAAAAGCTAGACGTAGGACATGTGAATATTGTGGTATTCGTGAAATTGTAGTATTACCAAGAACTCTAAACAGTCTGCTATTTCAAGGTTTGCAATTATAAAGGATCTACTGAACCATGTATTGTACATGAGGAATAGTTCTTGTAACAGTTTTATTTAAAATGTGGATTCCCTTGTGGTGATAATTATGGGTTCCGTTTCCTTGATTATCTGTTAATAATTATGGATAGCTTAAATCTAGCAATTGAATTATCAAGCAAATATCTTAAATCAATGTGGATGTGGTGTAGCTTTTGTGGTTATTAAGCAGGGGTCTGTCCATGCCGAATTTACTGCCGTTTAGCGGTACCTTCAGAAATTCAACCTTAGGAAAAACTAGTTTCACAAATTCACTTTTAGAAAAACGGTAGTTCCACAATACTTAAAATTTATTTTTGTATCCCTTGAGAAACAATAAATCCATATTTTTGTGTTTATTTTTTATTATAATTTTAATTTTTCACAAATTATCGCAAAATCGGTACCTCTCAGAAAAACCTAGACAGAGCCCTGTTAAGTTTGACATTCAATTCATAACTTATTTCAAATTTCTCTAAAAGTGTTGGCTGTTAGTATTTACTTGAACAAATTCTTAAAGAAAAAAACAATTGGCTATTTTCATTTATTTTAAAATTGATGTTAAAGTTTAGTCTTGATTGCAATTGTCTCACAATGATAGAGTAATTTTTAATTTATTTTGCATATAAATTGTTAGAGTGATCATGTTTAATAATTATACTGTTTTGAATGTGTCTAGGTTACACAACAAGAACTGAAAGTAATTGCTGATACTATGCGAACCAATCCTGGCTCTTTTACAGAATCTGGTATATATCTTGGAGGTGATAAATATTTCTGCTTGTCTGCTGAAAACTCATTAATTAGAGGTCGAAAAGGAAGTTCTGCGCTATGTGTTGTTGCCACTAATACCTGTAAGTAATAATAATATATTGAACTATTCCAGAGTTTTTCATTTCTGATATTAGAATTGTTTCCATTATTTTTATGAGATCAGGTTTAAGATATTTAATAGTATCCTTATTCTATAAATTTGAAGGATTTAAAAATCACTAAGTTGAGCTAGCTTTTATTTTATCATGCAAATTTCTATAAATCTGTCTTCTTGACAAATTTTAAAGGACCGAATAGTTTTAAGCGAATATAGTTTTTAGTTCTGATGATTGAATAAAATGTATGTTTATATAAATTTGTCTTGTTGAAGAAATATGAAAGAACTTAGGTTAGCAAGTGTTGAATATTGCCTGGTACTTGTTAAAAAAAAATAGAATTTTAAATCATTTTAGACTTTGTTTATTGTGGTATAGGTAATTCTTACTTTTTAATTAAGTTTTAAGAAATGATGTGGTGTTTTTATCAAATTAGGATTAAAGAACATTTGCAATTAAAATGTTTAAGAGTTTCCTCCTTTTTGTATAACATGGTTTAAAGTTTCTGTAAATTGATGTTTCTGTTTAATGATCTGAACCTTGACTAAAATTCCATGAAGCCTTTATCCTAGAAGCTAATGACTTAAGATTAATAAGTTTTTTTATTTTAATTTCAAATAATTTTTTTAAACTATTTTTTCCGTGATACGTAATTAGTTTTCTGTAGTTTTAAATATTACATTTTTGCTTATTTATTAAATTTCTAAATATTAATTTAGCTTATACTTCAGAAGTATATTCAATTTTGAATAAAATTTACTGTTATAAACAAATATTCTCGTATGTTTTTATTGTGTTAGAAAAATAATTGCTTTGTTTTGAGGTAATGCCATTAACTAATTTCATCCAATACTATACATTATAACTGATCTAACCGGGGTCTGTTTAGAAGAAATTTGGGTCCGTTAACGGACCCTTAACAAATATCTTCATAAAAACGACGGACCCTTCACAAAATATTTTAACTTAAAAACGGACCCTTCACAATGATTTTTCTTTTAGTCGGACCCTTCACAAATTTGTTTATCTTTATTATTGTTTTTTTAATCGAATGAACCCTTCAACAAGAAAGATGGATGTAAACGAATTAAGTTTTGTCTTCGACAGACTATTCTTCCCGAAATGAATATTCGGCGTTCAGCAGTATAGACTAAATACCAAATATTTGTATGTTGCATCGCTAATTTAGTAGCTGCAATTGCTGTTTATTTCTTAAAATTAAATTTTTTTTAATTATAATTTTACAGTGTTGAGCATAATTCTCGTATGTTTGTAAATTTTTTTTTTTGCAATAACGGGCCCTATTTGCACAAATTCATAAAAGCAGACCCTGGTTGAAAGAATGTGAGTAATTTTTCACAATTTCAAGAAAACCGGACCCTTCACCAAATGTCTGGACAGACCCCTGTCTAATGTAAACATTTTGTGTGCCAGATATGTTTATATGCCTAACTGTTGCTACCTTGCTTGCTTTAAGTGAAACTTCTAGTATTTGTGAACAGCATTAGTGAAATTTCTCCTTTAAACATTTAATAAATTGAAATTATTTGATGATCTAATTTGGTGATATTTATATCCTGATCTGTGACAGAATAATCTCAGTCTTGTTACCTTGCGTGCAGCGATCCACAAGAAACGAAAGAATTGCAAAAAGGACCCAACTCAGAGTATAACTAGTGGCAAACTTGCAAAATGCAGTACTCCTTATTAGATTGGTAGTTAGAATTTTTCTGGATTTTCAACTGAATTTTTATTAAACTGCACTATTACAGTTCTTCCCTTTTTAGTTAAAAACAAATTATAAGATTGTTAGCTTTTATTGAGAAATCTTTAATTATTGGAAGGAAATTTTTCAGTTTTATTAATCTGTGCCCATTTTTATGCAACATTAAAAGGAAATAGTGAAAACTGGCTTGTATTGTGCTGTGGCAATTTATGTATCTAAAATTTCTTAAAGCATGGCTTTATAGCTTTTAAATTTCTGATAGAATTGGTAAAATTTCTAAATAAATCATTTTCTCTAACTATGGTTGGCATCAAGGCCAGCCAAAGTAAAAGCAACTCGTGAAACAATTTTCCTTCCATGATCAATTTGCAAGATTTTTTTTTCCTTCTAAAAATTGCTTTATAATTTGTTGCAAAATAATAAAATTAAAGATAAGAATGAAATTAACCTCTTAGAAATGAGAACTTGAACAGTGATAGGCCATTAATTGAAGCAGAGATATGGATGGTTTTGGTCTAATGTCTCTACAGTTCTGAATGTGATACTTTACTTATTTTCTCCCATTCTTAAAAATTATTCAAAAGAACATTTTACATTGGAAATAATAGTAAATCTATTAAAATCTGTTAATTATAGAATTATTTCCTGATTACAATTTTCCTATAATTATAAAATACCTCCTAAAATAAACAAGATTTTCAGCTGTGCCTTTTTAGGTATACTCAATTTTTTAAAAAGTACTGTTTATTTCTTAAATATCTCTACCCTCGAGTCAGTCATGATGAACAACTTTTTTTTTTTAATTACCTTTTAAGGTTTAGCATTGTCCAATAGTCTTATCTGGTACTTGTACCATTAAATCTTTTATTATTTACTAATGATAAGTGATACTTTTTTATTGACTAAATAAAATAGAAATAAAATTTTAAAAAGGTATGCTAATATTGATAAAAATATTTTTTAGAACAAAAGTGACTTTTTTTTTTCAATATTTTGAAAAGTTATTCAAGTTGTATATTGAATGTGCGTATTTTCTTCAGGTCTCTTAGTTGCCGCGACTACTGATGGATTTCCACCAGGACAGCTCAATACAGTAATTGAAAAATTAGGAGATTATCTTCGAGCCAGTAACTATTAGGCAAGTATTTCACATTGTCTTAAGTTTTTCTAAAAATTTCATTTCTTCATAATGTTCGACCTTTTTAGTGTTTTGATATGTGATGTATAATATCACTGATTTATGATTCTGCCAGTACCTTGCCTGTGCTAAAGCAACTTTTTATGCATTGTAACTTGTGTGTTATAAGATTGTCGTTTTAAGTAAATCTAAGCATAATTTTTCAGTTGTCCCTAGCGTTGTATTTTCCTCAAGTTAATTGCATCTTAACATTATTTACTGTAGTGTGCAAATTCTTAAAAATTTTGTAACATTAGAGCAGATTTTTGCTCATATGTCATTAAATTACAAGACTGTCTACTACATTTTATGCTAAGTGTCTTAGAGTTTTAGACTATAATTTTTGCAATATTTTAAGAGGTTCATTGCAAGAGATGCAACTAAGTGGCATTTTATGATCCTTTAAAATCATTCACATGTAGTGGTGTGGAGAATTATTAATTTTAAGTTATATGTAAGATATTAGAAAACTAAGTTTATTTGCATTCTTGGTGCAAACCAAAATTTTGTTGAAACTGCTTCTAAAATACTTTTTTAAGCCAAAGGAAAAGTTTTACAATTTTTTTTTAATTATGCGTAGTGTAGATGTTAGTGCTTCAGTGTTTCTTTACACATGTTTAATGTAGTTGAAGTTTTCATCTTTCTATAAATGCATTTTTTTTTTTTTTTAAATTCTGAAATATTGGAATAATTTTGATTTGAAAAATTAAAATAAATTTAGCAGTGTACATGCTTCAACTGTCCTTATTAGTTCTATCTTAATTTCTGAAGCTATAGGATTTTAGAAATCCAGATTTTCAAGGTTATACTGTATTTAAAGTTAATTTCTTTAAATTTTTGTCAGTTTTTTGTAATGATGTAGTTTCAGTGTTATATTTTACCTAATTTCTTAACTAATAGTTATCAATATAGAAAGTAAAACTATAATTTACCTTTTCTGCTTAATAACTGAAGTTTTATTTTGTTATAGTTAAAAAGTATGTGCTTTTTGGATTAAAGTTACTAAATGGTACATGGTGCAGTAAAATTCCAGCAGTCTGTTATTCTGACTGTTTTGCTACTTAAAATCGCAACTAATATTAATCTTGGTGCGACTATTGATTGAATAACTTTTAAAAATATTCTATGAATTATAGTGCGGCTTTGAGGAAAACTCCTCAAGACTGAAAATCTGGGGCTGTCTGCTGCTGTGGTAGCAAATTTCTAATGGGGGTGAAATGGAGGAAAGAAGGTGTCGATTGGTTTACTCATGCCTACCTTCACTAAGATTTAGACAAAACTATTCATCCCGCACCCCTATTCAAAGTGACCTTTCCTTGTAACCATGGTACCCACCATGACTAGACAAACCTGACCTCTAACCAGTGCCTTCAAAATAATGGTAGAAGGTTCACCATTCTCTTTTTTGGGTGCTCTTACATCCTGAAGATTCAATTATATATTTGAAGTCTATAAACCTTGTTCCTTTAGTAAATTTTTTTAATTTTGAAAATGGATATTAATTGTACCATTTTTTTTTTTTTTGGATTGCATACTTGTTTCTAAGTTGAAAATTTAACCCAAGATTTACAGAGGTAAGAAAAATAAACCTGACCTTAGAATTGAAGAGCTTGCCAACTGAGTACATAAAATGTTTCCATAACTTTTATAGTGGTGTACTGAAAAGTAGTTCATCACATAGTATATCTATATGGATTTGACATTTTGAGAAGTCTTTGATACTGATGACCTTGTACACAAGTGTTAGTATTTTGCGTTGAACTTGTAGTATCTACCTGATTTGTAAACCTTGCTTTTGATTTGAGCATTTCTATTCTTTATGAAATAAACATGTCCACAAAATCTATCTTTGTTTTATCAATCAGTTGGACTGATTTGGTAGAGTTTTGTGGTTTATGAGAACCTAACTAGGTTCTATTAACTTTCAAGCCTGTTTTCCTATTCATGCTGACAAGTTTTTCTTCCGATTGTTAGGTTCCTTTGATATCATGCTAAACTCAATTATTCCTTGTGCATTATTAATATAATGGTAAACTTTCTAGCTTTAAAATTTTTTTGGGTGTTAATAAGCGTTTACTTTAAAATGTTTGTATTGTTTTGGAGATATGCTCATTTAAGTTATTTATTTTTTTGATAGCAACTAAATTTCTAGGACCATTAAAATATTTGAATTACCTGAATTCTGAACCTTTCTCTTATCTGCTAATTACTTTCAGATTTTATTATTTTTTTTAAAAATTCTTATTCAATTTATAAAGTATTTTATGAAATAAAGTACTAAAGTGTTATAAGCCCCTAATTTATTTAAATGTCCTTGAAAATTTTAAGCTGAGGCTTAAAGCTTCAAGCAATTTTTAAATTTTATTGAACTGTAAGAATAGGAAATTACTGTAAAATAGATTTAATGTTTATTTTGTATTTGGCAGCTTTTTAATTTTATGAACTTTAATTTGCTGCATTCACCTATATGTCTTCATTAAATTTATTTGCCAAATTTAATGACTTCTATAAGAACTATATAATATTTAATTATCAAATAAAATATTGAGTTTTATCTAGGAATTTAACAATGTTAACAGACAATAACTTGGACTTTTTTTGTATGTTTTAAGACTTAAATGTTAATTGTCAAATGAAAATTCCAATGCTGCTCAGATAACAATTTTTAAAATTTTATTTTGTCCCACATTTGTAAAATTTATCTGCTTCCCTGAGTTTGTCTTAGATTTTTGATTTACCAAATGAAAATAATTTAAACTAAATTTGGTCAAATAATTTTGCTTAATAGAAGCTTTCATTTTCTGAAATAGACTTTTTAGAATAGTCTTTGCTCTTGAGACTTTAAAAGTCAGTAATAACTTTTACTGTATGTTAATTTCACCTATGTTAAAACTATTAATTCTCAATCTTATTTCTGCTGCTAAGGTGAAGGCATCACTAATCTGTTAAGATAAAAAAGCAATACTTTGACTTAAAACCCTGTCTCAAAATGGTGAAAAAATGGACTTCTAATAAGACCTTGTGCTACGTTAAATTTAATACTCAATATAGTGACTGCAACTTCCTTTGTATATTAAATTTCATGCTTCCCATAAATTAAAATCAGGGTTGGGGTTTTGGACGTCCTTAACTGGTTTTGGATAGGACACGTGGTTAAAACTGTCTTAAACTGGGTAAAACTGTCCTTGCATCACAGGATGATAAAAAAGACATCTATTTTTAAAAAAAATTGTTTTTAAATATAAATATATTAGTTTAAATTGAAAATACAAAATAACTGAAATGTATTAACAGTTTTGAAGGGCATAACATCAGTTTCAGTTACTGACACTGGTAATGTACCACCACTATGCTAAAAGAATTGTACATTAATGAAATAACAGTATTCTTGAATAGTACTATAGGTAAATAACCCTGCTTATGACTAACCAAGCACTTAGTCTCTAATAGCTTAACCTGTATGGCAAGGTCCAACTTCAGTTATGTACTATTGAATGCTAGGACCAATTGAACTAGATTACTGATTAATCTTCCTTTGTTTAATGTTTAAATTGAAGAGCCGAACAATATTAATAACATACTTTTAAAAACAAATATTCTGTAGTAGATTTAATTATCAATATGTTATTAGTTATTTTACCTCTTAAATATTGTTCAGATAAAATTGTGACATAATTTGAGTAAAGGGTTTTGGACGGGCGGTTTAAACCATGGATTAATCCATTCTGTCCTAAACCTTGCCAACCCTGATTAAAATGTACTGATATACATTTTGATTTTAGTTTCTTTAAGTATTTTGACTCATATATTTGAGTCTCTCTTAATTTGGAAAAAGGCTAGTTTTAATTTTTAAAAAAATATTAAAGTGATTAATTTTCTCTTGTTAGGTTGATTGCCATTCACCCCCTTCTGTGTGTGAAAGAATCTTCAACTTCTGTGAAGACTTCCAGTTTGTGGCATTGTCTGTGTTAAGAGGAGGGAATACACTTAAGGTTGTATTTTCTTCTCTTGGACCTGCAACAAGAAATCTCCACCCAAGAAATTGCTCTGGATTAAAACTCAAATTTCTAAATAATCGAAATAACTTTTTTCCAAACTTTTTGTACTTAATTCTTTTGATATATAAATACATCCTGCTTTTGCTTTATATTATTACCAGTGTACGTGAAAAAAAAGTGCTAGTCACCAACTTGCGTTCAAGTGGCCGCCATTTTTAACTGTAGTGGAGATTTAAATTTTGAATTTAATTGAAAATTTTGATGGGGGGTGAAAGCAGGTATTCTTTATATATAGTGACTTGTGCTATTGTTTTTTGAAAGTAATTAGTGTAGCATTGAAAATCATACCTGTTTAGTAACTATTTGCATTGCTAATCTATGAAAAAAAATCAATGTTCGTGTTAGTGTCTGATGCCGCATTTTTAGTTTTTTTTTTTATTTGTCATGCGTAAATCTACACTCAGTTTTGTAATTCTGCTAGTGTTTTATATATTACATTAAAAATTGTTTTGGTTTTTGAAAGATTTTAACTACAAATTTTTATTTAATGTTTGCATTGATAATTTTTTTTTTTCAAATTTTGGAGTGAAATCATTTTTTTTAAGTATTGAGATTGTTTTTTTGATTGGCTTGCAGTTTTCATTTAAGCATGTAACACATTCCATTTAATATTTACAGCTTTTTTTTTCTTAGCATGTATCAATAAATCTCAGTGGATTCTGATATTGAATATCCCAAACCTGCTTTTTGTAAAATCAATAACACCCTCTGGGTAACCGAATAAAAGATGTCATTCCAACTGATTTGCTTCATTTTTTGTAGTTACAACATACTAATCACTTTTAAGGCATTAACTTTGTATTGAAATGATGGGTGCTAAATTATTTATTTACTGCCAACTGTAATTACAAATAAGAGAATGCTATTAACCCATTAATGTCTTGCACCATTTATTTCAAATTTTATGAATTACTCAAATATGCTTGCTGTATTACAGTCTTGTTCAGAAAGTTTTACAAAGTAAAGTTCAGTTTTAGTTTCTTTGCTAGCAAACATTTTAGCTAATAGAAATGAATTTTCATTTGGTTTACAAAATTGAGGTTTGTAAACTTTTCTCAGTTTACGTTTTCTTTTTTTTTCTTATTAGTTTTTCTGTCAATTAACAACATCCAACACTGCAAAAAAAAAAAATCCAGATAGTAGTGGTTTAATGCTAATTTTTCGTTGATGCAATTTTTATTACTGATGAGAGGGTAACTTACACGTTAGCGGTTTTATCTAAATGTATGGAACTTTGAAAACTAAACTTGGAAAATATTTTAAGTATTTCTGACAATGGATGAAAGAGCTGAGATGCCTCAATTGGAAAGTTTTTCCACAGTTCCATAGAATCATGTCTAGATGAAATGAGTTTCTTCAAACTGAAAGATACTTTTCTCACTGGCATTTTTAACCTTATCTATTGAATGAGTCCATGCATATCGTAGTATTTAACACTAACTAAATCTTTATGAATTTTGAATAGTTAGCAAACTAATAAAATTTAAAATAAAACTTATGTGCTAAATTTTTATTACTCATAAAAGTAAAATATTCATAACTGATTATGCACTAAACAATATATTACTAACAAACTTTCTTCATCTTGATTTCTTATTCCAACAATATTTGGTGCAAATTGTTTCAATGTATTTTTCCATTATGTAGACAAAACTATCACTGAAAATTTAAAAATTTTTCATACTGTTTATTAATAGGTGTTTTATAATGCATATTCCTTAATCATATATTAGTTTAAATAATTTTTCACTCAATTTAATGCTCCTAATGTATATAAAAGCTGAGCTGAGGATCAAAATATTAGAATTTAAAAAAATTTAACAGTTCAACTGCAAATTTTAGAATTCAAATTGCCTACACTTAATGGAGGAAGTATACATTTTACTATTCTGTAACATTATCTGTTAAAAACTGAACGTTGGTAAATTTCATAAATTTTAAACTAATTCTTGTTCATATTGGGCACCTTTTTTTTTTCTTCCTTTCTTCCAAAATCGTGGAAATCTGTTTTAGTAAAAATACTTATCTCTGAACAAATGCAACTTTATTTTTTTTCCCTAGCTATAAAGCACTTTTTTTTTTTTTAATCAATGATTAGTATAAAAATGCTATGAATCTTAAAACTTACCCTTTCATTTCTGTTGGTGCATGTGTCTGATACAGCTGCATGTATTAAGAATAGAAGAGTTTATGATACTATGACACTAAGATTAATTTTAATTGCATTTAATATCTTATTACTCTTTCTGACTAAAATGTAACTTTCCCTTTTATCAATATTGTGATAAAAACAAAACTTTTCTTTTTGTAAAAAAGTAAACCTTGCAAAATATTTATGAGTATGGTCCCATAGTTGAAGAGCTTCAATATTTTGCAATTGTTGCATAATAGCGTTTCGCCCTCATAAAATGACAAGTTATTATTTTCAATTTATTACAATCTAATAAAGTGTTAGCATGTTTAAATTAGAACGGGGAAAAAAGCAGACTATAACTTTATTATAGAATTTTGCAATAATCTGGAAATAACAGCTATCTTCTGTTCCAGCGTCGCAGCTCAACCATAGCCAGCCTAATCCACGATTGCTGGTAGTTAAGTTGCTTACTCGTGCAGCATCGCTACTTAGTGTTGAAAAATGTAACAGGGCTTCGTGTTTGTTTTTCGTCATCATATATATTTGCCTGTTAAATAAGATTACCCCATCAAAGTAATTGTGGTTCATTACATTTTAGTTTTTTCTTTTTTTACAAATTTCTAATTTTAAAAAATTTTTTTAGTTATGAAATGATCAAAAGACTGAGCTGGGATTAACAATGATGTCATTTGAATTAATAAGACAGGTATTAATATATATTTTCTGAGTAGGTTTTTCTTTTTTAATTCTTAAGGCCCCGAGTTTATGGATAACACTTGTGACGATTGCTGGTCAGTGGCAAATTTGAAATTTTTAAGCTTAGGGAAAATAAAGCTTGTGGAGAGCAACTAGTTACAAAAACGTTGTTGATAAAAATGCCTTAATTTATTGACACTGGTTGTAACGAAGTTTTGAAAATTTTCAAATTTGTTTCAATTTTTATTTTTTAATAAATTACTGGCTTGGAAAGATTTAAATATTATATGCTTAATTATTGGGATGTTAAAAATTAAGGTACGGAATTCAAAGTATAAACCTTCAATTTCAGCAACTAATTGTATTGTCGAACATTAACCTTAAACCCAGAATTAAATGCTGCATGGATCTTAAATTTCCTTTTAATTTAATAGTAACAATGAAAAGTAGGTGCGTCATTTATAAATATTTTTTTTAATAGCTTTTTTATAAAACAAGTAATTGATTGACTGAATTACAATTCATTTAAACTTGACAGTTGTCATCTGTATTAGTTTAGAAAATATAAACTAATACGATTATTACTGTTTGACTGGAAAATTTTCAGTTCCACTTTCAAACACATCGCACAGAGATGTATTGGAGCTGAGATGATTAATTTAATTTTTTTTCATTCGTAAATGGATTGCTAAATGTGAAGTTTCGTTTTGTGTGTTGCAAAATTCTGTTCTCGATTGTTATGTAAAATTCGGCCACTAATATTTTTTTTTTTAATTTTGCTACTTTTTTAATAATTAAAGTTCAATCTGTAATTTTGAAATTTGTGCTTTTGTATAATAAAAACTTGAATTAGTAAGTTTATATTCTTTTATAAGTGATTTTTTTCTCACCTCGATCAGTCTATGTTTATTTGCGGCTTGATAAAATTTTACACATTTATATAGAAAAAAAAAGTATCAAATTTAAATGTTTTTAATTTTTACTGCGTAAATTCAATCTCCTTTAAAAATCCGTGTTGATTTTGCAGCTCCTAGAATTTAATTTTATAATTTGAAAATTTTGGTGTTACTAGCTTTAAATAGCATGGGTTCGTACATAGACTGAGTGTTTCGTAATGATTGCTCATAATATATCCATATACATTTAGAATCCTTGTCAAAAATGAAATCGATATAGCACACCTGTTAGGGTTCTTAAATTATTATATCGACGAGGAAAAATAATTAAAACAAATCGATTGAAATCTGTTGTATCGCTAATGATGTGGACGATAGGTTTGATTTTCGTATTCTGCTACAACTCTGGAATTGTTTAAGCTAATTAAAACATATTTTGCTTCCATCGAAACCAGTTTGATTGCCCGAAGAAACTTGAAGGTGTTTTTAATCACTTTTTAACGGCTCCCTGTTTCCTCTGGCAATAAAAGAAGTTTTGATGTTTTCCGTCTCGTCCTTCTCAATTGTGATTCCTTAGATTTTGTTAGAATTTTTTTTTTCCTCACTTTTTTATTTTATTTTTCGAACCCTAACATGTATTTTTTTTCATTTTTAATAAGAACTGTAAATATATGTAACAAAGGTGGTAATTACGTAACTCGTGCTTTCTCGGTACAAAATTCCGTTTTTTGCAACCTAAAATTCTGCATCAAATCAAAATCTTATGACCACTTAACAGTTAATTTTCATTGATTTCACTTCATACAGTACTTAAATAACTCCCCAATATATTCATATAAGCTTGCCATTTTAAGCATAACATCTAATTTTTCTCTAGCACTTAAATTATTTAAATAATTCTGAACAGAAATAGTGATACCTAGTTATCTTAGGTATTAATTTACTTAGTAGTGACACACTTTCATAAAAGTTAGGAATGGCAGTATTTTAGGTTTTTCATTGTTGGTTGCCTTTCGGATATTGCTTGTAGATGCAAAAGATCACTAAGTGGCAAGAATTCCATCAGGAGAAGGTTTACGTTTCTCTAATACCTGAGAGAGCTCATCAATCACAGCTTGCGGCATATGAAAGGCGGTTTCTGTAAATAAAGAGAATAATGCTGGTTATTTAAACATACTATGTATTAGGTTGAACAGTGCGAAAAAAGAAAATATCTTTTGATTTAGTTATTAGATTTTCACGTTCTTGGGTTAAATCTTAATTGTAACGAATATTCGACCACTACTTTTCTGTTCTTTTGCCGAATATTCGACGAAGTATTATTTGAAAAATTAATTTTCTGCGAAGTGTTTTCGGGGGAAAGTTTAAAAGATTTAATAATGAAAAGTCTAAAATAGTATTTTTTACTATTCATTTTTAAAAATTGTTTTTACACATATTTGTTAAGTGCTGAAGCTTGTTAACTTATATTCTCAAAGACTCATGGAAAAGCAATTCGGTGCATCCCTAATTTTAATTGTTCGTGGGTTTGACCTTATACAGGGGTCTGTCCAGACATTTTGTGAAAGGTCCGTTTTTCGTGAAATTGTGAAAAAATTACTCACATTCTTTCAACCAGGGTCCGCTTTTATGAATTTGTGAAAATAGGGTCCGTTATTGCAAAAAAAAACTTTTTCAAGGAGTTTTTAAATTGTAAAGATATACAAGATTATGCTCTGCACTGTAAAATTATAATAAAAAAATTTAAATTTTTAAAAATAAACAGCAATTGCTGCTTCTTAATTAGAGATGCAACATACAAATATTTGGTATTTAGCCTATACTGCTGAACGCAGAATATTCATTTCGGACGAATAATGGAAGAATCGTCTGCCGAAGACAAAACTTAATTCGTTTACATCCATCTTTCTTGTTATCTGCCCTGGAAAAGGTTTATTCGATTAACAAAATAATAATGAAGATAAACAAATTTGTGAAGGGTCCGATTATAAGAAAAATCATTTTGTGAAGGGTCCGTTTTTAAGTTAAAATATTTTGTGAAGGGTCCGTTTTTATGAAAAGATATTTTGTGAAGGGTCCGTTAACGGACCCAAATTTCTTCTATACAGACCCCTGCCTTATATGCTAATTAATAAGTGCAGACGATATTTTAAGTTACGAAATGAGACACAAAATCGTACTTTCTTTAAATAATTTTTTTTCCCACGGATTCGGATTACTGACTTTCAAAATATGGTCCCAATCCCAATAGTTTGGTCGCCTTTATGTTAATTTGACTTTTTGCTTATTTCGCCGTATCTCGAGAACTTTTTAAGCGAATTGAAATTTTTTTTACACACAATTGTAAAATTCGTTTAGCCAAAGATAATTAGATGCAAAAAAATAACCTTTCGTAAATATTTTTTATGGAATAATAGTAAAAAAAAATGTTTCAATTGTAAGGTATACAATTTTTTACATTTTAAAGAATTTAATTTTTCATGGCAAATTACATAATTCTAACATAGTCGTCCTGAGAAATCGAATTTTAAGTATCTAATTTTTTTTTTAAAAAATTCAAATTTTCTGGGAACTATTATATCGATTTCGCTCAAATGTTGTATCTTGCCATGAAGAATTACATTCTTTAAAATTATGTAAAATTTTTCTACAGGACTGTAGGGGTAGCTGTAAGGACAGCTGTTAAACTTCACCAAATTATACAAAAATTGTACTTTTCTTAGAATTTAATGCTTTCAAACTGAATGTCATATGTTGAAAAATGTTCTGCAACTTCATTCTTTGTTTACCCCCCTAAACTGACGAGGAAAAAATTGCTTTAAAGAGAAAAAAATTGAAAGTGTTTTCGAAGCAGGCGTTAAAACAAATCTTCCCCGAGCAATGTAGGTTAAGATGGCATGGTAGGCAGGCCAGTGGCTCTGCGACCCACCTTTTAGAGGAGCAAAGAAAAAGAAAGTGGCCAGCACTGTTCCATATCAAATTCTGGTTTGGACGAACCTTGTTAACTCTCTAATTCAGGAGATAACAACTTTTTTTTCTTCTTTCTTCTCTTGATCTATTGTATCCTTCATTTCATAGATGGAAAGAGAGAGTTAGGGTATCTATGCGCGACCTGATTTCGCGATAAGATTTTTAAAACTGTTTTTTTTTTTTTTACTCGTTAATTTAGTTGATTTCCTTTTAAAAGTTTCGGTTCCGGACGGAGAATTTTTCAGCCATACTTCCAGTCTTTCGATATTTCCTTTTCCCTTTCGATGAAATATAGATTTTATTTTGTTTAGTTTTTTTTTGTTCAGGTATTTGATCTGGTTTATGTATTGTCTTAGATATTAATACAGAGCGTAGCGTTTTTTAAATGTGTTTATTTTCGATTTTCGTTTTTTAAAAGTCCTTTAAGGTGCTTTTTTCATGGGGTGTTTTTAAAAAGTGCTTAATTTTTCCTTTTTCAAAATGAGATTTTACCATGTTGATTTTCCCTACGAATTATGCAAAAAGACACAGTTCACATTGTTATCTTCAACTTTTTCACGATTAATTCAACCCCAATCTATTTCGGCGTATTGTCAGTCCGTAGCGTATGAAAACGCCATTCGTTTTACATGATTCAAAATTTCATGAATTTTGACAATTGTCAAAAACAATGCCAATTTTTTTTCCCTTTTGACATGACGGTTAAAACAAAATAAAACTGTCAATTTGTCAAAAACTTTCCTACCTTGCCTAATTATGATAATTTTTTTAAAGTGCTTCAAAATATTTTTTGAGTGCTTAAAAGGTGCTTATTTTTTGTTGAATAACTTGGCTACGCACCCTGTAATAGTCTATTATTATAAAGATATTAAAATATATTGGGACGATTTTTTAGATAGGAAAAATATATTGTTGTTTAACACCTGGCTTTGGTTAAGATAATACTGTTTCATGATTACGTTAACTGACAGAAATAATATTAAATGAATAATGTTTCAGCTATGTTGCATCTGAATTACATGAATGATTTCATTATGTTGTAATAATGATTTCGCTATTTTTTAATAATCTATTCGAGCAATGTTCAGAAAATTAGTTCATTCACAACACTTTTAAGTTACGAAATCAGACACAAAAATGTTCTTTCTGTGATGAATTTGTATTCTTGACCCTGAAATTATAAGGGGCAGTAATCTATAAGACTTAGTCCTAATAGTAGTAAATAGAGCGGTCGAAAGTTTGGAAACCTAAATGCGAATTTTAATATTTTGCCCATTTCACCATATTTCTGGATCTAATTAAGCGATCCAAAACCTTATTGTGCTGTTAAAAAATTGCTTTTTCAAAGATCTCAGTTAAAATAGCATGTAAAAATAATAATTATTGTTTTATAATTTAAATTAAAAGTGGTTGACAATTTTTAAATTTTTTAAGTAGAAATTTTTTTTGCGTCATTTTAAGTTATGTAATTTTAATTCATAAAATAAAAAAAACTGAGCAAACTTTACTGAATAATGAAACAGAATTAAGCCGTATTTGTTATTACTCTGTGTTTATCACGTTTTCATGTCTGTGACAGTGGAATTTTGCAGTCGAAATTTCGTTCACTTTCTGACTAGTATGAGTACTCAAATCTCAATAGGAGCTTCGTATCTGGTGACAAAGTTTCAATCGCTTTCTGACCGCTACAAGTAAAATTTAGTCATTTTATCGCTAAACAACAATCAAAATTTTAACTTTTTTTTATAAAATTAATTTGCGTGTTTAAAGCTTATTCGGAGTTCTGATGACAATACTGTCGTGTTACAGTAAAATCAATGTAAGCGATATAAAAAACCAAAATTGAGATTTTTATACTTTTGACATTTTTGTATAAAAAGCTATATATTGCACCAAAGAAAAAAAAAACCTTTCAAAAGGTTGTTCTAATCAGTTTTCTGAAATTTCATTTCAGCGCTAATAGCATAAGCAAGGTAAAGAAAATAGTTAAAAACCGCTTTATACGATTATCATGAAGCACTCACGTTCTGATCTTTCCATCAGAGCAGAATACAAGTTTTAATCGTTTCTTGACCACTACAAACTAGTAGTTTATCGCCAAAGAAATTTTATTTTGGCTTCTTTTTCACACTAGTTAATGTGTTCAAATTTTCAAAAAAAAAAAAAATGCTTTTTTTTATGTTGTCAAAAAAGAAGAAAATTATTTTATTTTTATAACACCTTAAACTAAAAACGTATGATGCATCAACTTCGAACTTTTTAACTTTGAAAATTACTCTAACTGCCCCCCCCCCCCTATGAAACAGAAAATTTCATTTCCTAAGAACTATTCGACTGATAATCTAAGTAAAGTGTTCTGATATGTTTAGACGGTAAAGTTATTATTTTTTTTAATTTCTTTTTTAAATATAATTTTATGGTGTTTTTTATTCTTTACGCAGTTTATCACATGAATTAATAGTTTTATTCAACGTTATGTAAAATTCGATTGTTAAAAAAACAATCGAATGTGTTATTACAAACTTGAATTTATTACTCTATAAAGATTGGAAATATCAAAAGATAACAAAAATATAAACTTCAAATTAACTATCTTTTTATTTAATACGAAAAAAAACCCCAACAGTAATGTAAAATATTTTACGTAGTGATATAAAAAATTTAATATTGTCATTAAGGAAGAGTTCAAGATCAAATGTATTATTCTATTCAATTTTTTGCGTTTCCATAAATTTTCTATAATCTTCTATTTAATTTTATTTTAATGAATGAAACTAATGAATTTAAATTTTCCTAGCAATCTATAAATTTTTTACTTTCAGTAAATGTAATAAAGAATAAAAAAAAAGCAATATCTTAAGTTTTTCAGTACATTAATATTTTAAATTAAATTTTCCACTTGTAGCAAATGCTTATTTTCTGTTTATATTTATAAACAAATTTTTACTTTCATCATTCTATTTTTTAATTATTTGCGCAATTTTAAATTTTAGGACAATTTTCCTTTCCCTTTATTTTATCATAAAATTAGTAAAGAAAGTCATAGTTTAAGTGATTAATTTGATGCCTCAAATTTAATCAAAATAAGATAAGAAACGGAACTATTACAGTTTTCACAGATAATTTTGGTAAAAGTTTACAATAGAATTCCCCTCGTATTTTGGCAATTCTCTTGAAAACAGGGAAAATGACTTGGTCAGATTTTCTAATATTTAAAAGTCACAGGAAAATGGAGGATTTCATATACAGTAAAAGTTCCACATTACAGTGCACAATCTAAGGGGCACCCTATTTCAGCAGCTCCCAAATGGTGTTCCGCGGAACCCCAGGGTTCCGTGAAAGAAAACGGTTCCACGAGTTTTTTCATTTTATAACCAGTGATGAGTTTCGAAACGTCTGATTATATAAAAATCCAACTTATGATTCATAATTTATTTACTTTTTCTTTGTGAAATTATTTCTAATAAAATGCCAATTAAATATACTAGTGGCATTTTTTTAAAAAAGAAAGTATTGTTTTTCTAATAGCAATGCATTGAACAAATTAAGAAAAGAACAATTTCGAAGGAAACCGTAATATAGCTTATTATATTCATTTTTAACTTATATGTACACCAAAAACAAATTTATAACTAGACTAATTATAATTAATTCAAACAGTACAAATTGACGAAGTCATAATCATAAATTCAAAACTAGCTATAGCACAAAGAATTTTTTTACAAATTTTAACTTTCGGAAATAAAACCTGCCAAAAACAAATTTATAACTAGACTAATAATAATTAATTCAAACAATACAAATTGACGAAGTCATAACTATAAATTCATAACTAGTTATAGCACAAAGAATTTTTTACAAATTTTAACTTTCGGAAATAAAACCTGCCAAAAACTAATTTATAACTAGACTAATAATAAATAATTCAAGCAATACAAATTGACGAAGTCATAACTATAAATTTATAACTAGTTATAGCACAAGGAATTTTTTACAAATTTTAACTTTCGGAAATAAAACCTAATTTAAGATTTTTAATTATAAAACGATAAAATAAATTCGTCCTTCCTCTAATTAAATATTTTAAAAATACTTTTTATTATAGGTTATAACGTTCAAAATTACCTTAAACTTTATTTATAAAGTCGGGGTTCCGTTGAAAAAATGTTGATTATTTAGAGATCCGAAGCCGAAAGAAATTGGGAACCGCTGCCCTATTTTACACTCTAACCTAATTTTTTATTTTAAAACTTCTTCAGTAAGGTCCTTCCCAGAAACGGGTGCTAGTTTCCGTTTTTTAACTGCAACATTTTTATACAATATATCTGTCACGAAGGCGATTTTACTAACACAACACGTATTAGTTACCTCTTCGAAAATTACAGACTTCATCTCAAAATTTTCTCAAGAAAACATACGCTATCTCATCATAGAAAGGACTCTGACACCAATCGTACTTTTTTAATATCCATTCTACGACCATTAACTTTTCGAAAATAACATGCACCAATGCTCAATTTCTCTATTACCGTTTTCCACGATAAAAACATTTTAAGAATTGTGCTGAAACTATCAACGTCACAATAACACACACCGGCATCGGAACTATTTTGCAAATTGAAATCGATGCATCGAATTATTAACAGTTTCTTTCACACTTTGGCATCAATATTTGTCATGATGTCATAAAAAAAACAATGTTGCTTGAAAAAAGAAAAAAAGATCATTGTTGCAATTGCTAAGTGTAAAAAATGAAGCCATTTCACTATTAAAACGACTTGAAGCTGTCATTACGCATATGTATTATCCTTTTTAACTCGACTATAAAAACAAAGAATATTATTTTATTCCCGATTCTATTCCGTGCGTCATCATCCTCTTAAAGAATTACAATGTGTTCGAAACGTGAAAAAGAAAAAGAAGCACTCTCACTGCAACATCCTCAATGATGTAAAATAAATAGTTCGGGGTAATGACGCTTCATTAAAATGGCTACTTTAATGCTTAGTACAAAGGATTAGCTTTCATCACTAAATCACGAATCCTATATAGTCACGCCACTACTCATTCTGTTGAAATACTAAAAATAAGAGAGTTAAATGAAATTTTAAGTTACAAAAGAAGCTTCTGCACTGATGAAATTGGATTTTACACTCAAAGCAAAATTGCGCTTTTAGCTTTGTATGTATTAAAAAAAGTGCTTTAAATTCATTTTTGAAATGATTGATATGTATTATTTTTTTTAAAAATATAGTCTGATGAAATTTGCTATGAATTTTTTCAAAGCTTTGTGAAAACAATTATACTAATAATCATAATTTCTCTTTTGCCTAAGGTATTTTGACTACATTTTCCAGTTTGTGGCAACTCTTCACCATATTATTATTATTTTTTTTAATGTATTCTCATAGATTTTGCCACAAAATATTTGTGGAAAAAATATGACAATAATCATAAATCATCTTTTGCTTAAAGTATTTTGGACACTTTTCCTGTTTGTGGCAACTTTTCGCCATATTTTTTTTTAATGTAGTACCATAGATTTTGTCACAAAACATTTGTGAAAAAAATTATGACAATAATCGTATCTGATCTTTTGCTTAAAGTATTTTGGGCACTTTTCCAGTTTGTGGCAACTCTTCGCCATATTATTTTTTTTTCAATGTAGTCTCATAGATTTTGCTACAAAATATTTGTGGAAAAATTTATGACAATAATCATATCTGATCTTTTGCTCAAAGTATTTTGGGCACTTTTTCTGTTTATGGCAACTCTTCGCCATATTATTTTTTTTTTAATGTAGTCTCATAGATTTTGCCACAAAACATTTGTGAAAAAAATTATGACAATATTCATATCTGATCTTTTGCTTAAAGTATTTTGGGTACTTTTCTTGTTTGTGGCAACTCTTCGCCATATTATTATTTTTAATGTAATCTCATAGATTTTGCCACAAAGCATTTGTGAAAAGAATTATGATAGTAATCATATCTAATCTTTTGCTTAAAGTATTTTGGGCACTTTTCCTGTTTGTGGCAACCGCTCTCCTTACATATTTAAAATTTTTTTTAAAGTTTATTTTGATGTGATGTCTTTTGGGACAAATTTAAACTACTTAAAAACAGAAGTCTGCTTTTAGCTTAGTGGAGGTTAATGATTGTGAAGAATTGCTACAGGAACTTAGCAATTTTCCTATTTCCTGCGTAAAATCTGGGTGAAAGACTCAGCCTTTGATTTAGAAATCAAATGCTTCAGGCACAGAACAGTTGTCACCTGTTGAACAAAACAGTTGAAAAGTACACCCACTGGTTGTCACTTTAAACCAAATTTACATGTTGTTTGTGTAAAAATGCTTATAAATTATTCGTAACATTAGAAAATTATGTTATATTTGTAATTTTCAGCTTATATTTCTTTTGTTAACGTTGTTTAGAAAAACACAAATATTTGTAACTTTCAGGGGCCCCAGGAACACTGTTAGAATTTCCCTTCTAAAATTATGGTAAAAAAACTGGCAGCAGTCTGTCCATCCAATTAACATTAAAATTTACGGTAAAGAACATTTTTTACTTTTATGGTTTCGAAACCGCTAATAACAAGTATGTTTTTTTTTATTTTATAAAAAAAGCCACTATTACAAAACTATACGGATTTTTGCAGTTTTTAACCTTTTACAACTAACATTGTTTCAAAACGGCTGAAAAGAAATTTAACTCGACATGCTGCTGCCATCTATGCTTAAATAAGAGTATCATATTCTAATAGTTCAAAGTCACAATTTGGGGTCCCGCAGTGGACTGATCGTTAAGACACGGTTCCCAGAAGATCACCGAAGTCAAGCATCACTGGCTACGGTCAGTGTGCGGGTGGGTGACCACTTGGATCAGTCTGCGTAGGGACCGAGGGTGTGCGGTATTGGTCCTCGTTAAACTGTGCTACCGTAAAGTGCTCGACTTCGCGTGCAGGTCGTCGGGCTACCGAAGCGGGGGTGTCATCCCCTCTGCAGAGGATCAAAATTGCGATGGCATGTCTTCGGATCATCCTCCGGGATGCTTCCCAGACCGTCGCCAAAAGCCCATTGTGCAGCTCTAGTGCGACATAAATTAACAACAACAACACAATTTGGGGAGTGCAGTACACTGGAAACTCATCACGTGTTAAAGGAAATAGGATAAAATATTGTGGTTTCAACTCTGGGATTCGAATCCCCATTCTGTCGATCATGAGATTGAGAGATTAGTTCTCTCGGCTATGATATTTATCCAGCTGCGAGGAGCAAAGTAGCTTCATTAGGTGGGCCTAGTTGGTGGGATAAAATTCTGGTTGATCAACAGTAGTATGTGAAAGCAATTAATAAACGGTTTTTCCACAGTTGTTTCAAACAGAATTTCGTAGTTGTAAGTAATGTAGTTAGATTGCCTTATGTCTCGCACTAAATGTTGCACACACACACACTACTTCTTTATCTATTTTTATCATTAGTGGTAGAAATTTAGTGTCATATTTAAGCCTTACCTTTTTTTCTTGATTTGTGTGTCTTCTTGCAATGAATACGTTCTTTTGAGCGCCTCTCTCTTGATCTACCTCTCATTGGGGGAGGTAGAGGAGGTGGCTCTAGTTCAGGTAGATTCTGTGGAGGAACACTTAAAGATCGAAGTCGCAAAGCGTTTACAATTGGATTTCCTATTGTACATGCGTCTGGAGGAGCGCCATTGGAACACAAAAATGTCACAGATATTTTATGGTCTTTTGATTGGTCCACGTTTATCACATCAGGTTTCTTATTAGCAAAAAGACTTTTGAAACCTTTCTCTTGCTTAGCAATAGTCAGCACAAAGCTCTTTTTCACTACCAACTGAGCATGCGCGTCGTCTGTTTGCGAATCAACCATGCAGTTAGTCAATTCCGGAGAAGGATTCCTTACCACCACGTTTACAGTCATTCCGTTATGTGGACATTCTTTTTGGGTTGGAGAGGAATATAGAGAACATTCACTGGGACATTCGGATGAAGAAGTAGTTTTATCGACACCATCACTGTCAAAATATTTCAGCGACTGTTTTGCCAGAAGTTCAGTTTCAGGTGTCGTAATTTCGTTGCAGTTGAAATCCAATATTTTCTTTGACACCGGTTGGTATTTAGAGCTCGAAGTATCGGAATCCTCGTCTGTAATTTTAGCGCAATCACTTTTGTTCTTTTTGTATTTATCAATCAAATCGAATTTCTCAAAGCGCACGACTTTTTTGGGCGAGGATTCGTTATCGAAGCATCTTACATCGGTCGCAGAGTCTCTCAAGATGCTAGAATAACAAATTTCAGAGTTTGAATTATCTATTTCAGAACTTGATGTAGCATTAGAATCACTAACTGCTTTGAAATCTTCGTCGATGGAATCTGCGGTTATTGAATCACTTAAACTGACTCTTGACTCGTTTCTATTGGGATCCTGATTAATACCATTCGGATCGTTCTCGGAATCTAATGTGGAATAATCAGGGGTATCTATATGATATGGTGGTATTTCTATTTTCTCTTCCTGCGCACTTTCCTTTTCTTCGTCAGTTTGCGCATCTTTTTCAATATTATTATTGGATGTATCACTTTCGATGGCATTTTTTGCAGCACGAATTTGCTCTTTAGAAATTTTATTTTCTTTATTCCTATTACTTTCACTTGATACTTTACTATAGATTTGCTTAACATCAGTGTTAACAGAATCTGTGCTTTCTTTCTTATCGCTGCTTCTGTTTTTGTGAATTTCAGCTACAGCTACAACTTTATTTTTGGTCGATTCTCCTTTAGGTGAATTCAACAATTTCGAACCTTTCACGGAACTTGTTTTATTCGATATTCGAATATTTTCTGAACTTTTAGTATTCGTCTGTGGTTTTCTTGGAGGTTTGATACATGGCGATGACCTAGGCTTCTCATCAAAACAGTTTGGTCTGCTCGTTATAGTACCATTGGGGTTGAGGTTAACATCCCCATTCACATCTCTCAATGGTATTTGTGGCGCCAAGCCTTTCTTTCGATTTTTTTTGCTAGCTCCTTTACTACTCTCCCTCTTCGAATTTTGTAACTTCTCAACTGGAGTGAATCCTATTTCAGCATAGATAACCTCCTCTATGACTTTTTCAGCGCCATTCTTTTTACCCAACTTGGCATAACGTTGATCTTTAGTTGATTTTTTATCTGCTTTATTAGACGTGACATTTGTCTGGTCCGCAATAGTCCTAACTTCCGATGACTTTGAGGATTTTCGAGTACTCTCTGTAACGATTGTTTTACCAGCGATTTCAATTCTGTTGTTTGAAGAGCTTCTTGATTCTCTCTCTCTTTTTCGTCCTCTTAACCAGCAGCCAGATTTATTCACGGGACTTGAACTTCTTGTCTTTGTATTTATCAGAGCGGGTGGAGGTGGACAAATATTGGGTGAATGGTGATAGCCCACACTCAGTCGGTCGCAACTGACGCCCCTTACTTCAGAACGACTTCGTCGCTGTTCACCATGGAGGAGTCCCAAGTCGCTGAGGTTTATCTCACTTCTTTGTCTTGTTAAGCCAAGAAAGTTTTTCCAACTAATGCAATCTGTTTTAATGAGGGAAGGTTTTCGTGTAAAACCATTATCCTGCAATGAAAAATAAATATTTTATAAACGTGGATTTGTAAACATTAAAAATAAAAGGAATCTACATTAGAAGCAATCAGAGTCGACATTCAGAGACATTCGTGACAGGTTTCTTTTCTAGTGACTAAGTATTAAAATTTTTCAGTGATAAGGTACTACAGATTAACGTCACACACACGAAATTGTGGATTAAATTCAAGGGTAAATAGTTTGGAAGAACTAGTTGTATATACCAGGTAAACACTATACCAGGGGTGTCAAACTCGCGGCCCGGGATCAACATTTCTGCGGCCCGCGAAAAAGTAAAATTCTAATTGGCTTGCGGCACCTACCATTCCAGGGAAACTGCATCGTATCAAAAATACGCAGAAAAAATTTCTAATCTTAGAACAGAATTTGAAACAAGGTTTAAAGATTTTAATTCTTTAGAAGAAAAATTTTGTTTGTTTTCTTCAATTTTCTCAATAAATATAAACTCAGTTCCCAGTAATATACAAATGGAAGTGATTGAGATTCAGTGCGACTCAAATTTGAAGGCAAAATTCATTGAAGTGGGTGTGCCTGAATTTTACAAATATTTACCTAAGTTTGAAAATACTCGAAAATTCGCATATGAAATTTTTTCCATGTTTGGAAGTACTCATCAGTGCGAGCAATTATTTTCTGTCATGAATAAAAATAAATCTTCTGTCTTAAACCGTATTAATAACGCTCACGCTGGGCCAATTTTGAAAGTAGTCTCGGCCAATAAAATTTCTCCCGAAATAGGAAAGATAGTAGCAGAGAAGAGATGTCAAATATCAAAGAATAATTTTACTTTATTTATGTTTATTACAAAGTACTATTGAAAATAAAAATATATGTTTCTATGAACACTGATATTTTTATTTTTTATTTAATTTTTGCGACCCACCTAAAGTTAAGCATTGTTTATTTGGCCCAAGTTAGCTTTTGAGTTTGACACCCCTGCACTATATGGTTTATATAAATAATACCATTTTAACTTCTAAACTATTAGTTCTATATTAAATAAATAATCCTAAGAAACAGAAACGGTTAGATATTAAAAAAACTCATTCGATTAAAAAATAAATAGATTTGAATTAACAGTCGATCTGCCTTTATAAGCCACAATGCCTTTTCTTATTCTGTTTTTTTTCATATTTATTTTTATTCTCTGTCGGCTGCTGAGGATTTTCTAGTTTTGTTTATCATTTTTGATTTCTATGTTTCGCTGGGAATTTTACGTTTTATATAGATCATTCTTGTTTCTTCCCATTCATGCTAAGTCTTGAAAATGGGCGCCTATTTTTGAGCACTTGAAACATGTCGACTATTATATCCGTTCTGTATATTTTTGAAGTGAATGAAGTCTTTTGATCAAGTAATATTAGTCATTTAGTTTCAAATCTGGCCTTATTTGACTAAGCGGAAAAAATACAGAAATCATCTCTTATTTCTCTAGATAGCTATAAGTAAGTTTCGACTTGTGAGGTTGTTTAACTTTTCTTACCTCTTGCTAAGAGAGAAGGGTACTTAATCAGTCTGCCATCGGCTATAACTTTTTTTAATGTCTAGGTTTTACCATTATTTAACTATCTTTAATATATTAAATATATTTATAATTTTTTTTTTACATATTTAAATGCTGTATTTCAAAGTGATCTTGTGAGGAATCACAAATTTTCGTATCGAGGATTTTCAGAGAGAAAAATGAACAATAATAATTCATTCGTAAAAGCAGCAATCTAATACTGATATAAAGATGAAATATTTTCGAATTCAAGAACGAAATCCAATGTCTAACTTTAATGAATGCAATGTAAGCCAAAAAGATAAGCTTTCGTTCTAATTGTTTCACTATTTCCAATTCTTTAAAGAAGAGCAGGAATAATGTTCATTTTGAAAAGTAGAAATTCTGTTTGCCCTGTGGAAAAAGCCATTTTGAATTATTATTATCCATTTGAATTATTATAATTATTATAATTATTTGAATTATTATAAATGAATTATTATAATTTTTTGAATTATTATAAATGAATTATTATAATTTTTTGAATTATTATAAATGAATTGTTATAATTATTTTGAATTATTATTATTTTGAATTATTATTATCATTAAGAAATCGTCTAAAACACTGTAAGTGAAAGAAATTTGTTTATTTGAAATGTAATGGAGATGAATTTTCAAAGTTCATTTGCTAAAAAAATGAACTTTTAAAAAAAAGTGAATTTTTTAGGTCACGTATACTTTAAAATATCACCAAGAATAACTCCAAGTTTTACTGATGAGTTAAACACACGAAAACCGTAAAGCTCTATGATAAGAATGAATACAAAAAAAAAAAAAAAAAAAAAAAAAAAAAAAAAAAAAAAAAAAAAAAAAAATCGGTCAATAAACTGTTAATTATAACTCTTATAAGTTAGAATTACACTTCAGAATAAGAAGCCCTGCAATTGTATAGTTCTTTATTTCTCGCCTAGCAGCATGATAATTTATTTTTCGTGCTGAACAGGCTTATTTCATGAATTCTTCTTTTTAATCTAAGTTGATTTAAAGGTGTGTGTTCGACACCTTTTCATTTTAGTCTGTTTTGGAAATACTCATGAAAATTTTATGTCTGCAGAACAATGTAAAAGTGTCAGTCATAATCGATGCGGATAGAGAAAGAGACTTACATATATAGAAAGACAGGGAGAGAGAGACTAGTTTAAAATGAAAAAAAAAAAAGAGAAAGAAATTCTGAAATTTTTCAAACAATGACAAATAAATCATTTCGTATTTGTTCTTGAAAATATATGCTTGATTTTTCTAACTACATATTTTGTAGACAAAACAATCTGAAGTCTACCAACATTTAAAATTCAGTAGACTGGAATCATTTCTTTCGTATAAAGGTCATTCTCAGAAGGAGCAGGAATTTCATTCGTAAAAAGTTCTTTTTTCTTTTTTTTAAAAATTCATAAATTTAGTTTAGTTTAAATCTAGTTTTAGGAGAGATTTCAGTAACATTGTTATTGTGGTTTAGAGCTTATACACAAATTATATTAAATAATGATCGTAGATGTGAAAAATAAGATTTTACAGGTTTGTGATAGAAAAAAAAATTATTGATATAATACCCTAATAATCATATATTGATTAATAAAATATTACTTGAATAATTATTTCTTTTTTTTTAATTAACATTGAGAAACATTTAACTCTTGTTGTTATCTTGCTATTGTTGATGTCTTGTAATTTGTTGTGGGCAACATGAAATAATTGATAATAATATCAATTGATAATTTTGAAAACTTTTTCAATTGAGTTAATGTGCTAAAATAGGGTTAATTTAAGATTCATGGCACTAGTTTTTTGTCGAGAAAAATAGGAACCTATGCATAGAAAAACAACAGAATACATAATTGACAAAAAATATTTGACCTCAAAATAAAATAAACATTAAAATTTTGCATATTTTTTGTTGTCATGAAAAACAGTGCTTTGTCTAAACTGTCAAAGAACTGGAAGCTGTCTAACACTTTAAACTGCTTCCTGCGAAACTGCATCTGCTACAATAAATTTTATAGCCGTCGTGGAACAGTTGACACAATTTTGGGAATCGGCTATTCAGGGTTAAATCCGTAGCCTTGTGATTTTGAACCCAATCCAGAAGACAAGGAATCTCCTGGATTAAGTATTGGGAGAAATTTGTCTTCATGGAGAACTTTTTTGATGGAATTAACCAGCGTTTGCGTTACATGGAGAGGAAAACCACGAAAACTTTCCTCGGTTAGCTTGACGGCAAGAGGACCCAACTCATGATCTGTCCACTCCTGAGGATATTTTATGTCAAATATCAGAGATATTTAAGCTGAGAATCTACCCTAGACTCACCCTATATTACTGTCCAATCTAAAAGAAAGAACACTAAACGCATCATTTTCAAAAGACGTGTGGGGAATTTTCAATGGTAATATAATTTTTTAAAATTTTTTTTACGAGAATGTTGTGCTTTACATTTGCTTCAGATGCCGCAAAATTGTAATTAGTATGATTAATTAGCTTAGAATGCTATTAAAAGAAGAGTTTCATTTTTAATGCATTTAAGTAAGAAATCTGTCTCATTGTTACATCAAGCCTAGATATGTTGAAAAATAAAATAACAGCAAAGCTTTTAAAACATTTTAGTATGAACTCATCTTTACTTAAATACCCACAACTCTAAATATTAAAAACAGATAACATAATTCACAGATAAATCAATATCGCAAATTCCTTTAATTTGTTTCTGAATAAAAGAAGAGGTATGGTTTTAAAGCATTGAACAGAGGAATGTTTTTAGTATGAATTGATCCTTACTTTAATACCCATGTCTCGAAACACACAAAAAAGAGACACTTTACACGTGATTTTATGCATCGTGCTAAATTAATTAGTTTTGTTAAGTAAAGGAGGTGATGTTTTTAAATTCTAATGTTCTTCAATTCAATAATTTGTTGATATGCTAAGTAAGAAAAGTTATGTTTTTAAGCTTTTTAGTATTAATATAATCTTTGTTTAGTAACAAATACATGCTTCTGTAAAAACTGCAAACCTTAAAGTTGAAATTTGTAATATTTAATAATAGAAGGAACATTAAGTTATTTTGTATAAAAAACTGTTTTTTTTAAAAGAAAAGTTGTACGATTTCTTAAAAGTATGTTTTGATGTGTGATGTAAGTAATTGGTTGTAAATTAATAAGAGACGTCCATTATAAACTTAAAACTAAAATGTTTAAAATGAAACATAAATTGTAATTGTAACGTCATGGAATTTTAATTTAGAGTAATAAAACAGAAAAATGCTTGAATTTTAAATCAAATTATAAAATTTTTTCGATAAGTTTAAACTAACACATTTCTTTAGTGATGATGTACTTCATTGGATTGTCTCAAGGGGAAAATAGCGTGGCACTTTTCCAAACCAAAACTTTATTTAAATCTGTACGAAGCAAAATTATAAAATAAAAAAA